ATAATATATATATATATATATTTAAATATAATATTTATTTTTATATATTTTATTATAAATTTTAGTTATATATAATAAATATTTAACTTGTACACTACATATGCTAAAATACTAGATTATGTGAATAAATAATGTCATAATCTTTTTTCATAATTTAATATTAAAAAATTAATGATTGAAACAAAATTAATCATTTTATTCGTTATTATTTTTTATACAAATTTACTTAAATAAAATCCAATTCTATCATAATTGATTAAAAAAAAAATCAATACTCTCTTCATCACATAATGTGTTGTATTAAATTAGTTTACAAAGACTAAAAAAATTAATGAATAAATGAAAGATAATAGTAATTTTACATAATTAACCTTATGCTTAATTTCTAAAATACTTTACTCTTCTCTAATTTTTATGTATCTTAACTAATTAAGACATGTATCACTTCACCACATGTCTAGTAACTTAACAACTTCAAACAATATACACCTTGCAACTTAATCAAATTTAATCAATTATCAATTTACAACTTAGCATCTTAAAATAGCACTATACATTATCTTAGATCAATGCATAATGGTTTAAAGTCGTACAATATCATATGGCATGTAAGAAAGCATTAAACTTTCTATGTTGTTAACATTTAGGAAGTTTTCAACATGTTTTTCATTCAAAAAACCACACTCGATACCATTCTCCTCACACCCAATGTCGTTAAGGTAAAGAGTCTCTAACTCGTCCACCCCCAACACTAAACCACATGCCCCCGATGTGGATGAGGCAGAAATCCTTTGATTCAATTGCAGTTGGCATAAATAATCTTTTACTTGACTCATGCTTGGTGCTACTAAACCTTCACTCGACATCATCCAGGTAGAGACTCATTGTCTAGGTTAAGCTTGACACCACTCATCTTGGGCTTGACATCATCAAGTTAAAGAGCTCCTCGAGCAATCATGCCTAGCGCTTCTTATTTCCACGACGAGCATGACAAAGTCAAAGAGCTCCTTACTAACCCTCATAGAGAGCCCCTAACTTGAGCCACGCTTGGTGCCATAAAGGCACGACCGATGTGATGATGATTTTCACACATAGCAAAATCACCAATATAGCTCAAAAAATTTCTCAGCAAACACCAACATGCAGTCCATAATTTAACATGTATGTACTATAAGTAGCTCAAAATTAGTACAATTAATCATTACAATTCAAAATCATCAGTTCTCTTCAAAACTAAAACTCAACACACTCATCATCTCTTATAAATCCATTCTAAAACAGTCATTGAATTGATTAATTTCGATAGCAACCAAGTAGTATAATTCAACAGTTCATCAAATCACAAACTTCTCTTACCTTTAGTTGCTCAGAAATCAAGGGAAGAGGAAGAAAGCCAAAGTCTTCAGGGTTGTCATACAACTTTTTGAACTTAGGATTCTCAACTTCCAAAGCTTGAATCTTTTATATATGCTAGTTTCTCAACTTAGGGAAGGGTTTATGGAAGTTCTATGAATTTAGAAGAAAAAGATCCTTTCTCGGGTTCTAGAGCATCTCTCTCTAACTTCTCTCTAGATTTCTAAAAATATGAACTTATGAGATTCATATTTTAAGAAAAATCTTATATTCCTTTCCTCAAGCTAAGCCAACTTGATCTTAACTACCACTATTCCACCAACAACTTAACTCTTAAGGTCTCTTAACCCTTAAAACTATAAAACAACATTAATTACAATAATTCACAATCAAACATCATAATTCATATAGTAATTCAATAAGGTGCAAAATCACACAGTGTTACAATTTTCTCCAACAATAAAAATTTGTGTCCCTGAAAATTAACTTGTGAAGAGAAATGGATATTGATCTTTGATCTTGTCCTCTAACTCCCATGTAGCATTACCAATGGCCACATCCCAAACAACCTTGATAAGATTGATGAACTTGCCCCTCAACTCCTTCATCTTATGACCCACAACTGTAATTGGTCTCTTCTTATAGGTCAGATTCTCCTTGACTTTCACAACATCATGTTTCACCACATGACTTGGGTCATGAATATACATCCTCAATTGGAAACACATCATGCATGTTAGATATAGGAATAGTGGCAAAGCCAACTAATATGCCACTAGACTTACACGACGAAGGATCTGATAGGTCCAATAAACATTGGTGTCAGTTTCTTGGACTTTATCACCCTTCCCACTCTAGTAATGGGTATCACCTTGAGGACCACGTGATCCCTTTCCTCAAACTCTAAAGGCTTTCTTCCTCCTATTAGCATAGAAATTTTGTCTACTTTAGGTAGCCTTCATCCTTTCCTGAACCATCTTCACCTTTTCTGTAGTTTGTAGAATTAACTCTGGTCCTACCACAATTGACTCATTCTCCTTATACCAACACAATGGAGTTCTATATATCCTCTCATACAGTGTGTCATGTTAATACTACCATGGAAGTTGTTGTTATAAATAAATTCGAATAAAGGCAGTACATCCTCTTAACTGTTAAGATAATATAGAACACAAGCTCTCAACAAATCTTCCACTAACTGAATAGTCCTCTCTGACTAACCATTCGTTTGTGGGTGATAAACATAATTCAACCTCAACCTTGTTCCTATGATTTAGTGCAAACTCCGTCAAAAATTTGAAGTAAACCTTAGATCTCTGTTTGAGATAATACTGGAAGGTGCTCCATGTAATCATACTATCTCTTTGATATACAATTGAGTATAAGTTTTTTCAAGGATCAGTTAATGTTGATAAAAAGAAAATGGGAACATTTGATCAACCTATCAACTATCACCTAGATATCATCACTATTCCTATATCAAATTTGAAGCTTCTAAAGCTTGAATCTCTTGTCTATTTCAATATCTTGGCTTAGGGAAGGGTTTATGGAAGTTCCACAAAGTTAGAAGAGGAAAAAGAATCTCTCTTGAGTTCTAGAGTCTCTCTCTAAATTCTCTCTAGATTTCTAATGATATGAACTTATGAGATTTACATCTTAAGAAAAACTTTATATATCATTCCTCAAGATAAGCCACCTTGACCCTAACTACAACTACCTTACCAAGAATTTAACTCTCAAGGATCTTTTGACCCTTAGAACTCTAAAATAATATTAATTACAATAATTCACAGTCAAACATCATAGTTCATATAGTAAATCAATAAGGTGCAAAATCACACAATGTTACGGTCATTCTCACCTAATTCAAGGTAAAATTAATTATTACTACCTTTCTCTCAAAACGTTCATATTTATAAATTTATTATTATCAACTAAATTAACTACTTTTCTAAATCATATAATGTTACAGTCATTCCCAAAATTACCTCATCTCTCTTTTAATTAATGTTCATCTTTCTCTTAACCAATTAGAGTTCATGTCGTATACTACTTCTCTCATAATTAATATTGGTTACTCTCTTAACCAATTAGAATAAATATCTTTTAAAGAGTCTATAATTAATGTATTTTATCACATTAAAATAATATTTTTTAATTAGGGTATTTTAGTCTAAAAATAATTAATACATCAAACATTATGAATTGAGTAAGGAACAAACAATTGTTCTAAGTTGGGTCCAATAAATAGGAACGAGAACAATATTTTTTAATTATACTCTTACTACTTATCTAATATTGTATTAATTTACACATTTATTATGAAAGTGAAAATGAAAAAAAAACTTAAGGCTTTTATGGTGAAGTAAAAATGAAAAATTATAATAGAAAACTTCATAATTATTTTATATACAAGGACTAAAAAGTTTATTACATTTTTCTATTTATATTGGAGTCTTTGAAGTTTATTCTAATTGTCCAAAAAGTGAGTCATCCAAATACAACTCACTTTTATTGAGTGAAAAATGGTCAAACTTACTTAACACATCACAAGATGGTGGGTTATACGGGTTCAATGTTAACTCTTTAGCAAACGTACCAAATTGTTCAAGTATTTGATTAGTAAAGTAATGTTTCCTCGATAACTTGTGTAATACTTGTCAATATAATCACAAATTAATTGTTATATAGATATTTAAATAATTAACAACTAGTTATTCATACGGGTGGTAAATAGATAAATCAGACAATTTTTTAGATGGATCATAATGAATCAAATAAAAATAATTTGTTATTCCATTTACATCCATTAAAAATTCACTTAAAAATTCAACCTATTTAAAGAAGAAAAAAATATATCCAATTCATCCATTAACAATTTTTTGCAGGATGTATATCTAATCCATCTATGAAAATAACAAAATAATAAAAATTGAAGTATTTTTTGCCTATTTTTTCTTTATATAGCATTGCATAGTCTTTTAAATTCACAAGACTTTTTTTTTTATATGAAAAAATAGTCTTTTAAAATTTCAATCCAATAAACATCTCATATTATAACCCAATAGATTTTGAAAAAGTAGTTGATGGATCAATAATTATTCATAAATTTAAATGGATGAATTAAATCAAATCCATTTTTTTTTTTTTATTATTATGGATAAATTAGATGAATTTACTTGTGGATGGATTATATTGATAATGGATAAATGGATTCTTTGGTCACCCCTTCATATGTTCATTCCACAAATATTAAATTAAGAAAACTTTAAAAGATACTTTTGATGTTTATAAACAAGTTTATAGTAGATGAAATATGTTAGTAAAATTTGAAATGGAACGTTTGGGTTTAGATTTCACTAAAACACATTCACTTCCCATCATAATGCTATATACCATCTTTAAAATTTAAAATCAACATTAGTTTATACATGTTTTCTTTCCCT